AATTTATCGCCGAATGAAGCGATGCTTATATCTTCCTCTGTAATTCTTTGCAGGCTTAGTCGATTCGCTAAATCCTTTGGAACAAATGACAACTGCATACCTTGGTCAAATAGTACTAGTGCCTGTGTTTCTATCTCCGGAGCTTCGAGATTGATTACGCTAACTTCTTTACGCAATAGTAAAATCGTTTTTTCTTGTGGATCCTTTTGATCAGTCACTGAATTAGTTATATACATTGGTTCCACCTTTTCCTTACTCTTGTTCATCTGAATAGCGTTCGTATCATGTCTGTTACATAACGCTGATTTGTGGAAGCTCTTGCAGTGGAAGCATCGTGTCGTTTTCATTCTACAGTTGCTTACAGTATGCCCCAGGCAGGCGCCTTCCATTAAATTAATTAATTTTGAATTGGATCACACACGAGAAAATTACACAGTATAGAAAACTTGAAATGCTTTGATAGTATTACAGTGATGATAAAATTATCTTGTTGTGGTATACAACTTTTTCCATACAATACCGGGAAAACCACCGTGTGACTCCCATACTATTGTTGAAAACAACTGTACACGTAGCAGCTTTCGTTTAACGTATTTAACGCAAAAATCAATACTTCGAAACATTTTCGTTGTTTGAAATTATTGTTTGCTATTAAAAGCATGTGCCAAACAAACAACGTTATGTCGGTCAATGTTTACCTTTACATGTAGATGACCAGATTGGATGCATCTTCCGAATGTGTGAAAGCTTGACCCAAATGTTCTTTACAGTGTGCTTCAATAATGTATGTCCTATTTCCTTGAGGTTCCATAGTTCTCAACAGCTGATACAATGATGTCAAGAAACACTCAACCGGATACGGAAACAAACAAATTAATAAACGAGTCGAATAAATTTCACCGTTTTGCTCTCGTCTTTTACCAATTTGCAAGGTATAGAGCTACCCGATTCTACTGGTCAAAAACTTTCGCTTACCTCTTGCCCATCTCTCCTCCACTCCCATTATTCCATTCGTTTCACTTTCCTTCGATTTTATTCTCAGTAATATTTTCAGAGGATCCATTCGAAATTTTTAAGTGTTGTAAAAATGAGAAGTATTACAAACGACCATTAATTCACACATCACTCAAATTTACTATCATGATAATGATTACTGCTAACTTTAATGCTACCTGAAACTTTGTATCTTAAAGATCTAAACCCGCAATGAACTGGAAATTTTTCTATGCCATTATTTGACGACTGCTTTCAAAAAGTCCCAATATCTAATAACAATTCGTGCAAGACTTTCATTTGTCGGCATTATCCAGAACATACTGTAGCAGAGGAAAAGGAATAACTTCATACAGCGATTCTTTAATTCATGAATTAACGCAAACAGTACCATCACAATGGTAAAGAAGCCAAAACAACCGAATTTCGCATATAGAGAAAGGAAAATGTCACAAAAGATATAAAAGCAGGAATAAAAAAGTAACAAACATTTTCGTATAGAAATATTGATCACAATAACATTTCTATTAAATATTTTTTGTACAGGACTATGTTTTGCGTTACAGATGCATTAACTTTTGCTGAGTATCAAAATGAAATTAAATAAAAAAAATTCCGAAAATTTTGCAGAGGTAACAAATGCGTAGATATTTACGCTCATGTGATGCTACCAAATGCCGGTTGGCTGGTGTAAACCATATACAGAAAGCCATCTTGGTCTGCTTCCTGCTGATATAGCTGATACATGTTCATACTGTTTGATACCATTGATTTCTCATTGACTAGGAGGAAGAAAGTTTGATCCGGATGAAGCTGTAATCGTCTGAAAAATCGTTTTTTTTCTCCTCTCCATTGTCTTTATTTCAAATTTAAAAAATATTCAGAAAGTATGCTTGATGCTTGCACTGCACAAGTACTGTGCTTTATTTTACAATTCGGTGAACAATCTAGAACACTGGAAAGTTCTTTCCTTCCTTTGTTTATATAACAAACACCAAGCATTAATAAAGACAATAACTAAAAAGCGCTTACAGTGACAGATTTGACAGAGAGTGGGAAGACCACTATAGAGAAAATGTACACAAAACGGACCAACTTAATAATGTTGTGATTTATTTCTGTAGACAAGCCGTCAGCAGAAAAAGACCAAAACACAGATAAACTACACAAAATTCTATAACAAACCTTCGCACAATTTGCATTAATTCGGCAATTGTTATGTGATCTGGCACCAGAAATTTACACCGATCCAAAAGTGGCAAGTATTTCTCCCCCTCAAATCGCTCAATCACAACAGGAATCTTGTTTGGTTGCTGCTGTCGTGCTTCTGCTGCATCTTTTGCACGTGCTGCTGAAATGATTAAAACAGATCGACTTTTGCTCAATGATGGAACAATACAAAATTGCTTTACAGTATATTATTGATTCAGAAATTTAGGACAACTAAATCGAAATTCATAAGCTTCTATTGTTATCTTAATCTATTAAGTGGATTCCAAAGAGCAAGGGATGAAGGACAGGATTTCTTCCTTAGAATGGGGGGGGAAAAAAACATCCCATAGCAAAATGGATGTAAAGCGCCACTACCAAAATTATCGCATATTTCCTACTTCTTAGATGTCCGTTGTGAAACTGAAATTTAAAATAAATTCATGCAAAAACATCCAATCTTTTTAGACAAATAATCCTTGGGAAAATGTTATGTATACATTGGTACGGTAAGAAATAAATGCATTTATATTTCCAAATATATTTCTATAATTTTTATTTCACATGCGCTTTTATCCAATAAACTTCAACAAATACATATATATATATATATATATATATATATATATATATATATATATATATATATATATATATATATATATATATATATTATTATT